GATTGGGATTAGATTGAAATTTAACCAATCAGAGTAAAAGTTACTGAACTTGAGATTAGTAAACTTTACTGTGATTGGTTAAATTTCAATCTAATCCCAATCCCAATCCGTAGTCTGATACGGGCTTTAAGCCCATCTCTATCAGTAATCTCTATCAGTATTCAGTAAAAATCTCAAGTTCAGTAACTTTTACTCTGATTGGTCAAATTTCAATCTAATCCCAATCTCAATCCGTAGTCTGATACGGGCTTAAGTCGTGTCGGAAGAAATTGACCAATCACAGTTCATTATTCTTCGACCGTACGGAGAATAATGAACTGTGATTGGTCAATTTCTTCCGACACGACTTACGACATCCAATGTAGATCCAGCCTAAAGCGGGGAGCACACACTTTTGCTTAAGTGCATAAGCATATACATAACGAATTTGATTGGTGTATAAGCAAATGCATAAGGAACTGAACCAATCAAATTCGTCATGCATATGTTTATGCACTTATGCAAAAGTGTGTGCTCTCCGCTTAATTCACTTTGTGCGTTGTTCATGCTACGCTTATTTTTCAGGATTGATTTTTTCAAACTCGTCCATCCCTATTATAGCCGAGTCTGTCCAAAAAGAACAGATATACATTCGTAATTATATAAAAGTCAAGATGACATCATTTTGGCTTTATTTTAAGTTTCATCTTGATTTTTCTTGTACTACCAGTTGAGTACTGAAACGGTACTGAAATTGGCGCCTTTTTTCTTAACGATTTCAGTGACCTCTGATGGCGATTTGACAGTTTAAATAACTGGCGACCCTGGTGCGGCTGGTGCGTCAACTGTGCCAAGTGGGGGAACCAGGAACCGGGAAGCGCGGCGGCGGAGGACGGCATTCGAGGTTAGTATACGCGGGTGGTCTACGTGGTTCGCGCGTGACGTGTTCCGAGAACAGCCGGGTGTTCGTATCGCTAACACGGTGTCTTCGCAGGCACGCATGTCCACGTCTGATCTGCGGGCGATCGCGTCTCGATCGTGTTAGGTGCGAAGGTAACCGGCGGCGGGGACCCACGATGACGGGGACCGACTGGCGGCGAGCAGCCGCGCGCAGATGGATCTCCAGGGCGATAGTCGCCACGTTCCTCGCGCTCGTCATTCTGAATCTGCCGGCGCTCTGCGGGGGCCACGACGCCCACGAGTCGCCGAGCTACAAGTACTCCAAGGAGGCCAACGAGGGCTTCGCGAACGTGGAACGGCTGCATCTGCATCATGAGCCTGATGACGAGCATCAGCATCATCATGATCATGCTCACGATCACAAGCACTCTCATTTCACACAGCCGAACGCTCCGCACCGGGATTACAACGACATCGTCCTACGGGCTGTCGGGTCGACCCTCGTCATATCCGCTGCCCCTTTCCTCATACTGTTCTTCGTGCCGCTGGACAACACCGAGCAACGCGAGTCGTTGCTCAAGATCCTGCTGAGCTTCGCGTCCGGCGGTCTGCTGGGCGACGCGTTCCTTCACCTGATCCCGCACGCGATGATCCCTCACTCGCACGACTCGCCGTCGGAGGCGCACTCGCATTCCGCCCACGAGCCGGGACACCACGAGCACGACATATCCGTCGGCCTGTGCGTACTGTTGGGGTTAATAGTGTTCCTAATGGTGGAGAAGGCGGTGCGTATCATCAAGGGCGACCACTCGCACAGTCACGTCCATCATGAGCCTCGCGAGAAGAAGGACGTCTCGTCGGAGAAGAAAGAGGAGCGGAAAGGGGAGAAGAGGAGCGGCGGTAAAGCGGTCTCCGAGGCGCACCAGACGCCCGAGAGCGACATCAAGATCGCGGGCTATCTGAACCTGGTGGCGGATTTTCTGCACAACTTCACGGACGGCCTGGCCATAGGTGCCAGTTACATGGCTGGAAATAGTATCGGCTACATAACGACGTTCACGATATTGTTACACGAGATCCCGCACGAAATCGGCGATTTTGCCATCCTGATACAGAGCGGTTACAGTAAAAGAAAGGTGAGGCAAACCGAGCGCAGATACATCACGTTCGTTCGAGATAAGGACGAACGGTGTCGCAACATATTGCGAAATGCAGCCGGGCATTTATTTCGTTGACCTTCGAGTTACATTTTCTTGGAAGGGGCAAGAGTTGCGCAATTTTAAACGTTTTGTAATCTTGCAGGCTATGCTGTTGCAACTGGTCACCGCTGTAGGAGCGTTATTGGGGACTTTCGTTTCTCTGATGACGGAAGGAATGGGTATGAAATCAATGGCAACGTTTAAACAGACAAACATCAGATTTTAGTTTACATCCCGTCTAATTTGTACGTTTTCTAGGCGACCTTGCTACCAAGTGGATCCTTCCCTTCACCGCAGGCGGCTTCATCTACATTGCAACCGTTTCCGTGATACCAGAACTTTTAACTGCCACTAAATTTTGGCAATCAATTATGGAGATAGCGGCACTTCTTTTCGGAGTGTATATGATGGTTCTTATAGCGGACTACGAATAAGAAATACTTTATAAGAGATCAGATAAGTTATTTTCTTACTTTCATTCTAGCTCGGTTCGTTCTTGCTCGTTAGCTCTGAGAAACATTTCCATTAGATAGAGAAAATTTCCGTAACTAGCGGGCGAGCTTGCTTTCGACATGTATCAACAGGAACTGCCGCATTTATGTTGCGTCTCGATAAACGGGATTGTAAAAGCGGAAAAGGAACTTACGGCAGGGATGCTAGAGCGATTCTGCACTTTTTGCGCCTAGAACTGTCAATTCATGAAAACACTAGTGTAATATACAAATTATGCGGCTTTTGTGTACAGAGTTTCCACGGAAAGTCGGATTAAATCAGAACAGCATGGCATCATTGCAATTAAGTTTACAAGTCTAACAAAAAATTTAAACTTAATTTCAATGCTGATTTTTCTGATTTAATCCGATTAGTGTAAACTAGTCTGTTTCCTCCTATATATAAAAAGAAGCGTGTTAAATCGATAGTCGAAAGTCTTGAAGTATTGGCGCGCTTGTGCGATACGATATGCTTCAATCGTGTTATTTGCGGCTGTCTAACCATGCGAATTTTTAGAGAGAGCAAAGGGCGCGCGCTTGTCTTGTCTAGTACACATAAAAGCCACATAATTTGCATATTACATAAATATTTTCATGAATTGACAGTGTAGAATCACTCCAGTATCCCCTTAACGGAACATCACGAACTACAGTTACAAGATAATGTTACGATATTAATTTGTTTAATATAGCTCAGTGCGTTCGGTAATCTGCATATTTTGCTACAAAGAAATAATTTGATATTCACATTTGTATAGTTTTTTTTTTGATTATTCAATCCTAATTTTTTTCGAATTCGTATACGTGGATTAAAATTATATTTTGATTTTCGAATTTTATATAATTGTTATCGGGATAAGTCTGAGATATATAATTACATTCATTATTACGAAGTGTGTATTCAGAAGAAGTACTTAATTTGCTTATCTTTATATTTGGTGTGCCTAAAACAAAAAAAAAAGATGGTATCTATAGAGACTACTAAGCCAAATATTTGGATGAAATAATGGGTACTCTTTAAAATTACAGATAGATATAATTTGAATGATGGCAAATATTTAGTGTGCGTATAAGTTTGAATAAGAATGATTAGTTTAACTCGTACAATAAATCTACTACGATTTTATAATGAATCCTTTTGTTCTTAACAGAGCCTAAGTATATATTCTCTGCGCGATCATCATTTTTCATAATGAAGAGAGAAAAGAATGCCTGTTATTTCAATGAAAAATATAACTATTTGTAAGTACTTCAATTATTTACCAGTAACGACATGTGATATACTTGCAAATGGATACCAATGGCATGTAATTAATGATAAACAGCTGTTAACATAGTTTAATTCAATGCTCTCCAATTGATAATAAGATGTGGATAAGATGAAACTCCGTATATAAATTCTATATGAAACTGTTATAAGAATGTTTTTCCAAAAAGAAAAATAAATTGACGAATATACATAATAACTGTAAATACAATCTATAATGTATCGATGTGGTAATCATGTTGTTTATAGTAGACGGCAAAAGCTCTCGAGGTTTCTTCAGAAAATAAAATCTGCATATAAAATTTGTACTACGAATATAAGGTGTGTACACGTACGTGCGTACATGCTCTACATTTTATTATTATTTGTATTAAATATCTAATATATCTGTTATATCTAATATTATATATTGCAGCATCCTATTCAATACTGAAATTAATTACAAATAAAATTTTAACCTGGTCACAGAATACAACAAATCCAATGTAAAAACTGAAGATATACAAGTGATATCAGAGACATGAATATATTAAATCGTAACATTGCGGAGGTAAAACACATGTGCGCTTCTTACGTCAATAGTGACTAGTCAAGTATCACACAATAAATAGCTTATTTTATTTAAAAAAAAAGTATTTCGCTACATTTAGCCCTTGCAATCATAACAATTCTTTAAACGATCGATCCTAATTTTTCTGTACATTGTATTTACAGACGCCGCTCTCATCTAAATACGCAAATTTTTAACAACCAAGCTGCATCTAAGAAAAATCACGAGGATCTACAATGACAAATTTTTCTGTACATTGCATTAACAGACGTCACTCTCACTTAATACGCACATTTTTAACAATCAAGCTCTAAGAAAAATTACGAGTATCTACAACGACAGTAATCTCTTTACTTCCTTGAGGCACTCGTTGGCTTCTAACAAAGAATCATTGTCGTCTCTCGTCTTAGCTATCTTTCTTCCTCGTTGACAGGACGTTTTGGCTTCGTCGTACAGACCTTTCTTCAGAAGCACATTTCCTAAATTCACGTGAATCGAGCCCAGGTCAGCCATGTCGGGTAAGTTTTCCCCTGTAAACGTTATTTAGCGTATTACGCGGCTACGACTGACCAAGTTATACGTGTATCGTTACCTATTCTCGCTGCAGCGGACAAATATTTGATAGCCTCGTCATATTCTCCCCGTATACAACAAATCGTCCCCAGGTCGTTAAGCAGAACCACGGTCTGTTCGTGTTCCTCGCCGTTCATCTTTCTACATATGTCATAGGCCTGAAGAAAATAGTTAAAAGCTTCGGTATGTCGGGACTGTGAAAGTAGCATTCGCGCGTACCAATCGAAGGCCATACCCTGCAGCAGTGCAGCGTCCTCGTTGTCAGGATCCTTCTCGACGTGCGACTTTAAACTCTCCAGGCAAAATCTGTAGCCCTGCTCCGCTTTCCTGAGCAAACGGACAAGAAAATTGAATAACATCTTGTTAGATGTAACGTGGGCGTAACGAAAATATTGATTGTTACATTTTCAAATGTATCACGCTTTTTATATGCAATCTGTATCGAATGTCGCGCTTTCTAGAAAACAAAGAATAAAAGTGGCAGATCAAGTTGCTCACTTTGCCTCGTTTAAATGTTCGAACACTCTGGCCATCTTCAGGCTTATATGGATGACTCGCATGTCGTCCTCAGCTGCTCCGTTCGACACCAGCCTCTGCAAGACCGACACGAACAAGTTCTCCGCTTTGCGATACTTGCCAGTGTCGAAGGCGAGATTGGCCATCACGTCGTAGATGTACGTGACGGCGTCGTAGTGCTGTAAGGTTTGCGCTTGGCGCAGCGCTAGGTGCAGCATTCGCTCCGCCTTGTCGTACTCTCCCTTCTACAAAGAGAAGGTAAACGTTTGCTGAAACCGTACGAGACTGAGGTAAAGATTCGACGTCTCTTCGTGTCACTTTGTAACAGCGAGAAGTGTATATTTAACATTTGTGTAAGTAAACCAAGTATATGCATCTAGAGGTTCATTCCCAGGTAGCCTGTCGGAGCAGGATTTCGTCAAATGCCCGCTTCGGCCCAGTTTCACAAACGCCGGTTAACTGTTAACCGGAGTTCAGTCGACTTCCTATCCTTTTCTATTTTGTTATCTAGGTAAGAGACAGAGAATCAATTAACCTTCGGTTAGTAGTTGACCGACGTTTGTGAAACTGGCCCTTCGTCTTTCGCCAAAAGCCAAACGCGGACGCAGGTGGTTATGGTTTTGGCGCGGGTCTCCGATGAATCCGCCGCGAATCTGCTGACATTTTGCTGACTGGATTCTTACACGAATACTAAATACATGACGAATCTCGATACTTAACCTGTATTAACAATACAGATCGCTTGATCGTCATGATGACCTCCGGGACCTCCTCATCGGTGTCTTCGATGCCGAGAAGATAATGGTAGATTAAAGTGGGCAAGGCCGTGGCGAGCAGCATCCTGGGCCTTCGCTCCCGCGACCTGTGCCTCTCCTTGAAACGGTGTCTCTCCGGCCTCGCGCAGAGTCGCGGGGCCTTCGCGAAGGTGTTTTCGCAGACGTGCGCGCTACGTCGAGCACTCGCCGCTGAGCGAGCAAAGTTGACGCCTGATAAGACATATCTCGACATACGAGACACTAAATTCACGCGGTACATTCTGACAGTCGGACGAGTTTCGCGTCAACACAACATCACCGGCGAAACTGGAAAGTCTTCTGCACTTGCAAGCTGCACTGCGTTCGGTGCTCCGCTCTTCTCGCGAGCACTTGAAAATTTCAAACGCGGAAAGTTGAGTTGGAAGCAGTTGGAAGCGCTTTTCCGCTGAAAATTTCATTTAACTTAATCGGCGATTAAATTGTTAAACGAACGAAGTGCAACCTGTTCTATTATTTCGTTAACGTGAATATAATTAATTTTGTGATATTTAATGTTAATTAAAAGAAACGCTAATTATAGAAAAAAGATCGGGCCAGGGAATTAACCGTCGATTAGGGGAATCAATAAATTTATCAAAGTCTGTGACATTTTATTTATATTTAAGACATATAGGATAGGAGTCTCTCTCGATTTATGCCCGTTTCTACCAATGTAGTTTAACTACGTGTCAGACTACGGATCGAGATTGGGATTAGATTGAAATTTGACCAGTCACAGTAAAGTTTACTAATCTCAAGTTTAGTAAAGCCCGTATCAGACTACGGATTGGGATTGGGATTAGATTGAAATTTGACCAATCACAGTAAAGTTTACTAATCTCAAGTTCAGTAACTTTCACTCTGATTGGTCAAATTTCAATCTAATCCCAATCTCAATCCGTAGTCTGATACGGGCTTTATTGGCTCTCGTAGACAACCCAGTAGGAAAAATAGTATCGTGCACCGTTGGCTCTGCATCCTTAAGCCCGTATCAGACTACGGATCGAGATTTT